AGTAGTCTTAAGTGGAACTCCTGATCCTCAGTCATCAGGTCCCTTAACACTCCTCATATCCCCAATGGCATCCACAACTATCCTTGCTGCTCTCCTCATTGCCACCTGGTTCAGTCTCACCCTCCTCATCCTCATCCTTGCCCTCGCTGTCTTCTACTTCAAGGAGACATATAAAATCCAACTCCTTCTCATGCACCAACCTAAAACTCCCATACTCAACCAAACACCTGAGTGGCCATCCAATGGAGTACAAGTAATGTCTCTCATTGAATTAACCCTGACACCATTTACTGACCTGCTTAGTGGTGAACCAAATTGCCCCCATTGCCACTGCAACCCTCACTGTCATTGACAACCACCCCCAGCTCCTCCTTCTCGCCCTTCTGGGCTTCTTCCTCATCAGCCTCCTATCCACCTTCGCCCTTGCCCTCATTGTCCCCCTAACCCTTTGCATCATCATCCAACATCTTGAGTGTGAACACCAGTGGGCCTTTGACATTGCCACCACTGCTCAATGTCCCCTCCCCCATACCATCACTAACCTTCCTGTCATCACTGCCAACTGGGATTCCAATAATCCCAACCAAGTCTATTTTGAGTATATTCAGGAGCATCAAGATTAGTGCTTGGGGAATATCTTTGTCTGTAGTACTTGGTGCCTTTTGTATTCTGTATTTGATTTTTTCAAGAAAACTCCTTCTTTGGCTTCTTCCCATGCCTGCTGAGCACAACAACCAAACCAGAAATAATAATGTGACTCCAAACTCTGACCTGCATTGTCACCCTCTGGCTCCTGTTTAGAACAATTCTTCTCCAATGTCTGGCCTACAAAGAGCACCAACCCCTTACCCTTCCCATCTCCAGATGCTAGAAGAATACTTCACAGCTGGAATGATAGAAATGCCAGCCCCTATTCGACCTATCCTGAGCTTCCTGTCACAGTTTTCCCAATAATATTCCAGAATAGGCATGTGCCTATCTTATCTTATCAGATAGAGATTAGATATAGATCAGATGCTAGCTGGAGTATACCCGGAATAGTAGAGAACCAGCTAGAAGGTTCCAGGATGAGGTTGTCAATCAGGTGACAGCTCACTAAGCAGTTCTACTCAGCGTCGCTTAGTGGTCAAGACCTACACATCACCTGATATTTTAGTCAGACTCCAGCTTGGGGATTCATCATCACCACCGGTTAGTAAGATGGTCAGCAGGTGTTAGTAGATAACCAATCGGGTAGCTAGCTTACCCAGCATGTATATAAGCCAGTAGGTCTGTGCCAGTTAGGGCCAGACTAGTTATAGTCATTTACCTGCTTCCACTCAGAAACATCCTCTACAGTAAACTGCCCTCAAAGCCATTTACTCAGAAGCTATTAGATAGTGAGTATAGTCAGGATTAGGGTTAGGTTTGGGTTCCAGGGTGGAGTCACTGTGGGTCATCGTGTGACACTTCCCTTCTCACCAGGAATCTGATGATTCCTTGCTGGAATTCCTCGACAAAGGAGATTTCCAATACCCTATAGGACCACTGCCAAATGTTACCCATCACCCATTCCTGATCCCTGGTCCTTTGGAATCCTCCCACAATGATGCTATAATCCTGTATCAATTCCCTGGTCCCCTGGAGGTTTCCCAAGATGACTCAGGAGCATCTACTGGATCCTACTATGCTGTGCCTATACAATTCTTCCCTTCCTCTTTGGCAATGAGCATCTCATCCTCTCCAGGTCCTGACCTCCTGCCAGCTGACTCCCTCACTCCAGAATCCCCCAGCATGCCTCCCCTCACATCTGACATCTCTGATAATGGTAGCCTTGCCCATGCTCCCAATCTCCAACTATTGGCTGATGTCAGTGAGTACATTATGGCATCAGAAGGGGGGAGCACAGCAGTGACCCTCAGGAGTTTATAGTCTACTGTTAAGGGATCTAACGACTGAGGATCAGGAGTTCAACTGTTAACTGGTACTAGGACTTATACACGCTATAGTCCTACTGATACTAGAGTTGCAAACTGAGCCGCTATATCTGATAGTGGTTTGTGAGGGGCTGTATACTAGTTGAAGCCAAGCTTTAGACTAAGACTGAGACTTGAATAGACAACTGAGTCTATTGCTAGAGAACTGTCCCTATGAAGTGTACATAGGGAACAAGAGGACAAAACTGAAGTACAGTAGTGAAAGCAGTGCTACTTAACTAGGGCAAGGTGAATAGAGTTTAATAAGTATGAAACACTGAGTTGGATCAGTCAGACTATAAAACAGGTTTCACTGGGTTGTATCAGTGATGAGGGTGAAATGTGATAGAGATGAAACATGATATGAGTGAAATGTGATAGAGATGAAACATGATATGAGTGAAACATGATATATATGAAACACTGATGTGGATGAAATGCATCAATGATGAGATCAGTCATACAGTTACAGGGTCAACAACAAATAGTTAGGAAAAGAAAAAGAACCCCCCTCTCATGCTGTAACATTACCCCCCTCTCCAGATTTGTCGTTCAGAGTTTCCATTGAGTGCAATGCTCCTGCAGGTATCCAGGTTCTTTGGTGGGACAAGGGAGTTGTCCAGGTTGTATGTTGGTGGCAGTATAGAATTTATGATGAGGGTGTAGGAGTCTGCAGTAGGACTCACTTTGAAGGTGACCATCGGTCTCACACTTGGTACAGAAGCAAAGACAGCAGGGCATGGCACCAGAGGGAGGAGTGATAATAGAGAACTCATGGCGTTTGAGCCGTTCCTCCAAATTGGCTGCTTTGAGGCGTGTCTGACATTGGCTCATTTCTTCTTCTGTGCGAATGAGTTCCACCCCTATAGATCATCGCACTGTGAGGAGTAAGTCAATTTTTGCATCAACGGCTCGGAAACAATCAACTTCATCAGTTGCTCCTGGATCCTTGATGTCTTGCAGCGATGCCCAGAGACTTTCCAATAAGTTATCATCTCACATCAGCAGGTACTCCCAAGTATCCTCCTCTGAAGAGTTCCAATTCCCTGTCGAGACCAAGACGAAAGGATGGTCTGCCAGAGGCTCAATAATATGAGGACAGCTAGAGTCCGA